ATGTAAGAAATCTATCATACTATCAGTCTGAGTTGGTTTTAGTGCTTTATGTATGCTACAGGTGTACTTAATCACAAAAGTTATGGAACTGAAATTTTTAAAAAGCATTTTCTTGTTTTTAGATTACAACAGTTTGTGCCTACTTTGTTGTTAGGGTTTTTTTCACATTATTATAAATTTGTGGGGGGTTTGATAAGACAGATAAAAAGGGGGTGTTGTTGTTTGTGTTTTGTTTTCATGTGTATTTGTTTGGTTGGGTTGTTTTTTTCCCCCATGAAGAAATCAGTTCCAGCTTCTCCAGAAAAATGGCCCACTTCAGATGGGCTTCTACATGGAAGCAGAACAAGTCTTCATGGTAGATGAGCTGACTTGACCAAGGAGAAGTGAAAAATAGGAGTAAAAGAATTTGACACAAAATCAAGATATCAAAATTAATTAGGAAACGTATTATAGAAGAACTTATTTAATTATTTATAGATCTAAGGTGTTAAGCAAGAATAAATAAACAAAGACTTTTTATAAACATCAGTTCAGCCTAGGAAGAAAAACAAAATAAAAAGACCCAAGTGATTCAAAGGCAATCACTCACAACCCTCCCAAAGAAGACCAATCTTCAAGAAATGGATATGGTCCCCAGAAAACCTCCTCTCAGTTTATATTGCTGAACGTGATATGTCATGAAATATCCCTTTGATCAACTCAGATCAGCTGTTCTGTTTATGTACCCTCCCATCTTCTTACTGACTCCCAGCCTACTCACTGGAGAGGTCATGTGGGAAACAGAGAAAACCTGGCACTATGCAAATACTGCTCAGAAATAGCCAAAACACTGGTGTGTTATCAACACTGTTTTAGTCACAAATCCAAACCCAGTAGCATATGGCCTGCTAGGAAAAAATTAACTCCATCCCATCCAGAGCCAGTGCAACAACAAAAGCAGAAGTTAACATATATCAAAAAGAAGAATGGTTTCAAAATATTCATTGTTTTTTTACCAGAAAGAAATGGTAGAGCTTAAAATATCAAAGACGATAGAACTGCAGAAGTTCTATTAAAGGAAAATTTTGGGTCACTTTGGTAAACTTTTAGTATATCTGGAAACGCCATCAAATTTCTACAGGAAAAAAGACTGCTGATTAGGAAATAGGAAAAATAAACAACAACTTGGATGTCTGGACAGGTGGTTCATTCAACAAGATTTTAGACAACACCAAATGTGTTCAAAGAGGTGGTCGGCAGTGCATTGGAGGGTGGGGCTGCTACTGAGAGAGACCAGAACTTTCAGAAGAAATGGAGACTGACAGAAACCTCAGGAAGTCTAACTAAAGCAAATGCGAAAAACGTTGTACCTGAGAAGGAATAAACCCATGTACAGGCTGAGCAGCTGGAAAACAGCTTTGTACAACAGAACCTGGAGGTCCTGGCGGACACCAGGTTGACCATAAGCCACCAATGTGCACTGGTGTATTGTGTACTTCACTAGGAGGAGATCTGCAAACAGATAAAGAAAGTGAACCTTGTCCTCAATTCAACACTGGTGAGACCATGACTGTGGTGTTGCGTTTTCACAGAACGGGGGCTACCCCTTACAGAAAGACATGGGCATCCTGGGGGTAGTCCAGCACAGGACACCATGACTGTCACGGGGCTGGTGCACCTGACAGACAAAGGGAAGCTGGAAGAACTGTGTGGAGAGAGTGGAGTAGGTGTCAAACCACACAGCCCTGCAGAACCTGACCAAATTAGTCCTGCTTTGAGTAACCTGAATAATTTTTTCTTCCAGCCTGAAAAATTCTCTGATCATTTGATTCTATATCTTCTTCCTATGCAAATTTTAATTTTGCAAATATTTTGCAAATAATTTGAAAACTATAGTAAAATCAGATCTGTCCATTTTTTGTGTACAAGTACCAAAGATTATCCTTATGTAACTAGGTATAACGCAATGAAAATAAATATTAGTTATATTACAGTTATCAGAAACTACATTAGCTATATTAGAGTTATCAGGAAAGCATTTTGGTGGAGTAATCTGAAAGCAAACATGTAAATTGGTATAAGAACATTTCTATAATCTTGGAAGAGAGATAATTTGGAAACTGGATGTTTCTGATTCAAAATTACATGAATTACCTGAGGCACAGTGTGTGCTTTCAGATGACATACCTGCTTCATGTAAACACATGGAAGAAAACAGAAAGTCAACAAAAAATAGGCTACATTTACAGGATAGAATACCTTTCCTCATATGAAGGACTCTGTGAACTGGTTGTATGGTGGATTTATTATTTTGAAATACAAGGAAAAATTTTACAGCAGTCTCAAAGATTACTACAACATGTAGACAAAAAAAAATAATGGCATCCCTGGTATAAACTGTGGGGAATAAAGTTGTATCTGTGCTTGATGCAAGCAGTTACATGGAACAGAGGCTTGATTGCCAATCTATACTTTAAACATGTTAATGTCTAGAATCCACAGAATGCTCTACTTTGATAACAGTCAAAAGTATTGCTCTGAAACAGCTCATCTCCTTGAAATCATTAACCAACACGTCATTTTTTTCCTCTTTCTTTTCTCATTTGGGTGTTATTTAACATCTAAAAACATCATTGCAGCAGTATTTGAATCTTGTTCAGCATTCCATAACTAAAATTATTCAACCATAGAATTATTGGCACAATTCAGAACATTTGCAGCTGAATACAAGCTGCTGCTGACTACAAGCTGCTGCTGGCTACACAATAGAAAACACGGTTGTCTGTTTTGTAACATCTCTGCATTCCAGGTAGGCAATTCTTCCTTAGAAAACACTGTTGTCATAAACTAGAAAAAGATTATTTTCCAGTATATATACATTTTAAGTACTACTGCCATCAGTTCTTTGGTATTGTATCCACTAGTAGTTTACCTGTTCATATTGAAACCATATAGACTGAGCTTTAGAGGTAGGTTATACATCCACATTAATCACAGTTTGCTGGCAGTTGTTTTACAAGGTACAGATGCAGCACATGGATTTTGGCAAATCTAACATGCCACATAAAAAGCACTTTTCTTTAAATAAGTGCACCTATTTAATTTGAATACACTTGAAATATACGAATATGAATGATATTCAGACGCCTTAACCATACATTTATTTTGTAATTTCAAATTCTGTTTAGTAAGATAAAAAGAAGTACCAATAACATCATATACATCAATACATCCACCTCTGAAAGCATGCCTGTTGTTGATTTTCCAATTAAAAACTAGGAATACGGTAGGATGAAAAGAAAATTGTTGAAAAGAAAAACACCTATGGAACCTTTTTACCACTTTGCAGGGGAAAAAGCCCATGCTAATAAGAGAAATGGCAGAGAAATGGCATTTTGAAATTACATATCACCAAATAGGACTGAAATATCACTCTTTTGTTGTAAATATACAATTTCTTTATGCCTTTCAAACTCATGCAGCTGAGAAAGAAAAGCACAAAAGAGAGCGGATAAGAACTTGTTGTAGTCTAACAATGAATGCAAACAAAACATTTAAAGAATACTATGCCTTTTTTTTAAAGTCAGTGAGAAATGATCTTTGCACTGATTGTTTTGCTTCAATTCTACTGAATACTAATGTTTGATCTTCAGCAGAATTCTCTAAAAGTTCAGATCAAACTTAAAATTCTATTTGATATTTATTTGAAAAGTCTATTTAACTCATGTTCTCTACTGTCATCAGTTTTCTTTTCACGAACGCGTACCTAAGTATAGCCAGAATTTCAAAACTATCACAAAATATTACAATGACAGAAATTCTAGTGACAATGAAGAAATGAGGAATTGCTTTGTGTGTGTCTATACAGCAATTACCATATAAGATTACAAAATGTAGGAGTTGGGTTACAGGAAAATGCTGGATGAGGCATCCTGGGAAATGAAGTCCTGAAGTACTCCCGCACATGGGCAGTGAGATGCCCTTGGTGGTTGGTTAAGAGAATCATGTGTTACTTTGAACCCATGCATATATAAGGTGTTGTTTGATTTAAATAAGAGGAACTGGCCAGGTCCCTGTGATTTATTTATGTATTACAATAATACGCAATAATAAAAGACATGCAATAATTCAATATCATACTAACTATTTAAAAAGCAAATATAATGATATTACAGTTGTCAATAACAGGGTACTCTTCATTCTTAAACAACAGTACGCTATCATTAATGACAGTTTGGGGACCTTGCAATATACTAAAGATACTGATTTTCAGGTTGAACTAATAGCTTTTCCTGATCAATCCATAATTCCAGAAATTCATTTTCAACTGACTGTCTATCATCTGGTAGGTGTTGTCTCTCTGTCTAAAAGAAGGACTAATATATGAATCAACTTGTATTTATTGTTGTACATATGCTCTTATTAATCCTGAGAAAAAAGTTATTCAGTATTCCTCCCATTTCAAACAAGAAAATACTGTTAATGTGCTTTTTACTACTTTTAGTCACAATGGGTTTGTGTCACTTTTCTTTATACTTAATTAGTTTTGTTTAATTTCCTAGAGTCAACGACAAAGGTATGTGTGCATTTGTCACATAAGAAGCTGAGACAGCAGGGATTTCTCAGCCTAGAAAAGAGAAAGCTCAAGTGGGATCTTGTCAATGTGTATGAACACCTGCTTGGGAGAAAATGAAGATGAGTGAACCAGCTTCTTCTCATTTATAACCACTGACAGAACAAGAGGCAGTGGGCAAAAATTAAAACACAAACTTCATCTGAACAGATGAAAACAGTTTTTTGTTCTTTTTTTTTTTTTTTTTTTTTAGTCATACTGTTATAGTGTTTAAACACTTAAAAACTTGTCCAGACAAGTTGTGGAGGTCTCCATCTGTGGAGTTATTAAAAAATCCAACTGGATATTCTGCTGCAGATGATCCTGCCTGAGCTGGAGGTTATACAAAATGACATCAAGAGGTCTTTGCCGTCCTAAATGATTCTATGAAGTCAAAATAAGAAATGTAGGCACATTCTTTCTTTTGTGAGGAGTGCTGGTTTTCTTTGGAACAAAATCTGTATGTGAATACAAAAAGAAGCCACAGAAATCTAGTAAAACCAACATCTCAGTGCTTAGTGTGAACTGTGTAACATTTTTCTTACAGCTAAATATTCCCCAATGACTCTAAGTAGAATCTCTAAAAAGACAGCCAAAAGACTACTTCTAAGAGAAATACAAAATCATCAAGAATTATTGAGATACTTTAAATTCACTTTTAACTATGTCAGTAAATTATTACTTATGTAATAATTATGTCTTAATGTCAATGGGCCAGAAGCAGGGACAAAGAGACATGGTCTGACCATACCTAAAAATTGTCTTCATTTCACTTCATGTACCAATGCAGAGAAAAACCAGAATCAACTCAGGATGTATTCATGTAGATATTCATATAAACCTATCCCAGCATCTTACCTCTATTTTGCAGGTAGACCTCGGCCTCTTAGTCTCAAAAAAGAACAGAGAATGAATTGTGAGATAGGAATTCGAAGATTGCTCATGGGATGATGAAATGTATGAAATATAACTGCAAATGATATTGCTTAAAAGCACTTCCTTCTGTGTGACTAGATATGACATATTATGCTCCAGACATTATTATATGCAATAATGAAGTACATGGGAGGGGCATGATGATGGGTGGAACCTTCCCCCCGGCCTTGGTCATGCTTAGGTTTATCTTTGTAAATTTTCTCATTATTTTGCATCCTTCACCTTGTCTGCCAGCTCAAGTCCCTCCAGCCCCAGGCACACAAAGGGCTATGGTTTTTCAGACAGTGATGGAGAGGGGGGAGGGTATCACCCCTTCCTCAGCAGGGTCACTCTGGGGCTGAAGCTGGAGCAGCATGGGCAGTAGTCACTGGCCCCAGCACAGGGATTTAAACCCAGATCAGGCCTACTGTGAGGGTGAGCTCCTGCACTGCCACGATAACACATAATTGGGCCATCCCCTGCTAAGAGCAATCAGCATATTTACTAGGCTACAGAAAAAAGAGATGAGAATTTAATCATGTTAAATGCCTACATGTGTCTACATACTACTAATCCTTGTTTTTCTCTCAACTAGATAATAATTCACAGCTATGTTCTCATAGAAAATAAACAGTGCAATTGTCTGTAAATAAACTGTTATTTCTCTCTTCCTTCACACTTAATTACAAACTTCTACTTGATAATTCAAAGCCAAAACTTATGTCCTTTCCCAACATCTGATTAGAGAGCAAAATATGCTTTACCTTTCCTTTCCTTGCATGCAGTCTAATAGCTCCTTACTTTCCAAATATTACACTACTTTAATTAAAGTGGTTTGTGCAAAATAAATCAGCATTACAAACAGTTTAGTTTTCCCTGACTGAATAAACCAAATCTGGCCACGAAACTGGAATAATAGAATTAAGTCACTTACTTGGAATGTTTTTGTTAACAATGACATGAATTAAAAAGATGTCTTTCATTGTAGATGTCTGTTGATGCAATATAAAAAATATTTTAATACAACCTGTTATTACTTCAAATAGCAATTTATTGCAGAGTTTATTGTTGATTTGGTTTGCATATAAAAATTTATAAAGTGTGTTTGATTAATCTAAGACCTAGTGAAAGCATGTAGAAATTTATACAAATGACTAAAAGACATGTAATAGAAAAAGATTTAAAACCAGAGTTTTCAAATCAGTACACCGCAAAGCCGAAAAAAATGTGCTGAATAGTTTATATACTTGGGAATGTCATAAGAAAAAAACTTATAGAGGAAGGAAAGGAATAGTAGCATGACATGGAATAAAAGCTAGAACTGTTTAAAGACTTGAGAATGGTTTAAAGCTTAACTGAAAAATATATTTTCTGTCTTCATCAAAATTTTGACAGGTAGGAAATTCCCATTTAGACAGAACTTCCCTTTCTACTTGGGAGGACTAAAATGTCTGCAGAAAGATCAGCTATAGGCCATTCAAACAAAATGTTTAGAACAACTTTATAGCTCATAAGCAAAATTGGACATGCTTAGATTTAAAACAAATACTTTCATTTTTATTTATTTTTGCCTTCATACATCTCCAGAGGTAGATTTCTCATTTCTAGTTTTTACATATTAGACAATTAGACATAAGCAAGCCTGTAAGTCCAAATGGGATGTATCGAAGGGTACCAGATGAGCTAGCTGATGTTGCTGAGGGGTAAACCTTATAATTTTCAAAGGGTAATGGAAATTTGGAAAGTTTTCTGATGACTGGAAAAAGGCAAACATCACATCCTTCTTCTAGAAGAAGGATTCAGGTAAAGGTCTCACCTCACTTGTTATGGGGCAAATCCTATCAGAAGCTATTTCTAAGCACATGATAGACCATGAGGTAACTGGAAGCAGCTAGCATGCATGTACCGAGCATAGCTCATGCCTGGTCAACCTAACTGCTTTCTGGGACAAAGTGATTGTTGCTGAATGCAGTGGATGCTGCACACTCTAACATTAGGAAGGTCTTTAACACAGTCCATCATGGTTTCCTTAGCACTGAAATTTTGAGATATGGGGTAGACATGTAGACAGAAGGGTGCATAGAAAAATGACTGGACTGCTGGAATCGAAGACTGGTGGCTAGTGCTGGAAAGTGCAGATACTGGATAGCAGCTAGTGGTGTCTTTCATAAATCAGTACTGGAACAAATGCATCTTAATGTCTTTATAACAACCTAGATGATGGGACAGCATGTGCTCTCAACAAATTTACAAACAATCCCAAAGAGGGAAGAGCACTCAGAGGGCACAACTGTTATTGGGAGGGACCTGGATAGGTGGGAGAAATGGGCTAACAGGTGATGCCTTAGGATTCTCAAGATTTTGTAACATATAGATTTTTAATATAGCTGTATAATTTCTAACACTTTGGAACAGCAGTTTACTAAAACTCTTTTCTAATGCTTCATATCAAATTCCCGAAATTCTTCCAGTTTTGTTTAATACTCTCTTCAAAGAAAAGACCTTGGCGAGTACATCTTGCCTGGGACATCTACCTAGAAAGATATCATTGTAGACAAAGCAACCTAGAAGGCCTGGAGACCTTGGAGAAGCTCCAAAGAAGGAATGCGACTTGAGGGAGATGATGGTGATGCAGAAAGGGGTCTTGAGACCTCCAACACAGTTTCAGGAAGGCATGTCGAGGAATGGACCTGAGGGAGGTTCGGGGGGCAGGCAAATTTTGGGTTGGAAATATCCATTAGATATGATAATTAATTAGAGCTATAAAATTGTAGAAGCCCAATGCTGTATTGTACAGTACTGTACACTTCTGTATATAGTGTGCTTTAAAGCGCTTTAATTAAAGACTACTCTGTCATGGGGCTGGTGCACATGACAGACAAGGGGAAGCTGAGCAAACTGGGTTGATTGAGCATGGAGAAAAGAAGGCTCAGGGAGACCTCATTGCAGCTCCCTGATTTGAGGATACAAAGTATGTGGAGCAACCTTATGGGGATTCCCTGTGATATAGTGAGAGGCAAAGGATATTAGTTAGAAAATGGGAAATTCTGTTTGGATATGGTGTTTTGTTTTCACTGCGTGCATGGCCAAATCTTGGTGCAAGTTGCCTAGAGAGGAGTGGAGGGAGTGTTGAGCCCTGGAGGTATTCAAGCCTTGTGGCCACAGCCTGACCTAATTAGTCCTGTTTTGAGCAGGATATTAGACTAAATAACAAGAAGTCCCTTCTGACCTGAATATTTTTCAATTATGTGATTCCACTATATTCCTTTATTGCTTGTTGAAAAAGGTAGTTGTTTCATTATTTTGATTGAAATATTCTCAGTGGCAAAGAAATTCAAGTCTATTTCCCCAACTAGCCTATCTGGACTTCATTAATTTTAACAGCTCTGGACAGTGACAGCAGATTCTCTTTAGATAGTAAGTAAGTCTAACTTTAGACAGAAATTCAGTACTATAAAGTATGGGCTAGAAAACACATAATAATGTTGCTGAATTTTCATTTAAGGTTAACTAAATGTAGTGAGTAAGTAGCACTGAAGCAAAATCCAGAACTTTACCATCTTAGTGACAATGATATCTTACTAGGTTGCAGAATCAGACTTTTGTGAATTTTTTTCTTGCCTCATAATTATTTCTTTCATTTTCTAATGCAAATCTAGGAGGAAGGCTGGAGAGGGGAGAAAAAAATGAGGGAGTTTTTTAAGTCTGGTAACTAAGGAATTTTCCAGCTAACTGGGCAATATGAGCATCAACTCTTATAGACAGAGGACCTTGATTTCCCAAGGTCTAGAGAAAAAATGTGCAAAATACTTATTGTCTCTGTATTTTTTTATTTTTTTTTTCTGTCCAGACAAGAGCCTACAATTAAAATGATAAAACCAAAACATACAGGAAGACAAAACAAAAAGTTTATTTGAAATCTCTCTGTCAATTGTTTTTGTAAGTTTGGAAAATGTGTGAATAAAAGGACTTGCAAATGTGAGACAGATGGACTGAATGCTCTGTCATTTTAGCAAAATCCTTGCTCTTAATAATTCATGTATCTTGATTTCACTGCCAGTATTTAAAACTGAAATAGAGTCTGGAAAACATTAAAGCTTGAGTTTTCAAAGCATGGGATGTATATATTTAATGAGGCTCATACCAAATGATATAGGATATTTTATAATCAGCATGAAATGAAGTTAAAAACAAAAATATCTTACTCCTCTGTGAATTAATATCCAGTTTTTACTCATCAATAATTCATCTAGTTCTTGTGGCTACCACACAGTGTGAGCTCTGTGTCCTAGATCTGAACAAAGTAGAATTTCTACCCCAATTTTGACAAGGAATTATATAATTTCTAGATCAAAAGATCTTTAGGCACATATAGAAACTATAGCTGGAAGGACTTCCATTTAATTTTTTTAATTTTATATTTCTTCTCTTTGTTTTACAGTTCTCTGCTGTCTGGACGTGTGTTGCATTCTGAAACTTTGGCTTTAACTGTAGCACTGTGAGGAAGTGTTGCAATAATACCTGTGGAAACACATATCTTGTAAGTCGGAGGAAACATACCATTATTTCAGGCAGTTTGCATTCTGATTGCATTCCTTCTGTTCATGGAATTAGATGGCTAAGAGTGTCAGCTGCTCGGACCTTAGGGGAGGAGAATCAAAACTGAGGCCCCTGAATGACTTTGCAACTCATAGCAAAAGAAGTGAGCAAGATTATACACAATGTCTTCTGAACACTGATAGCCCATCAGAGCATAACTTTCAAGCAGCAAAGTACTAATCTGTTGGTTGACAGGGTAACACAGGCACAGAAGTTAGTGTTGAATGTAATTGCAGCTAGGTGAATTAACAGGCCATATGGTCCTAGAAATCAGGGAGTAAACTTGAAGGGAAATCTAATGTTTATTCTTCTTCTCAGTAAGTTAGAAACTTTTAGGTATAATGTATATAATTGGAAGGACCTTATCTTTTAAACTGTTTGTCAGAAAATTTAATCTAGATTCATTCCACTTACCTTCTGGTACCTTCCCAAGGAGTCTAACCTAGGCACAAAAATGGCATAAGCTATTTCTGTACTTAAAAGAATGACATCTCAAGAGAGAAATTCAAATGAGATAAGATCTGAATCATTCTGTGGAGAGCCTACTTCTCTCCAATAAGTATAGAGGGAGCTTTGAGTAGCTACACTCCTAACACAAATATCCCAGTTTGAAAACTAAAGTGAGATTGAATAAATCCAAATTGTGTGCAGTTTTAAGCAATTGCTGGCTTAAAACCCTACAGATCCATGGCAAGTTAATTGGGAAGGTACTAACAGGATTGCATGAAAGCATAAGCACTGTGTTGCCTGTTTAGTCCTGTCTTTCTGGTGCTACTCAGGAAAATAAGAATTTCATCTTTCCCTTGCAAAAACCCTAAAAGTATAAATCTATCCACAACTCAGCTTTCTGAAAATAAAATAAATTGACAATGTGGTCTAACAAGTAATAAAACAATGCTTCCCTGAGAAGGCAACCAGAGTAAAAATCTCTCTCACAAGGATATAAACTGTGGTAAGGTAATTTTTTAAACACCTCTACAGACTAAAAGATGTGAATATCAAAGAACAAAAGATCTCACATTGACTGGCTGGTTGTATCGATTGATTTATCAGCACTGCTAAGGCTGCTCTAAACATCAGAGGTACCGAACTCCTATTTTACCTGTCTGAAAGTAAGTCACTGGAGAGTGATTCGACTAATTCTGAAGTAATCTCCTGCTCCAACCTTTCCTCAATGAACCACAGTTTTTTCCAGACATATTTTGCTGTGCACAAAGAGACTCTGAGAACAAGATGTACATTCCCTTGAGCACCCACAAAGTATTTACTGTCTGATTGATACAACTGAGAACTAGGACTTGCAAGATACTGGGCTAAGCATTAATATTCTCCCTATTCTAGTCTAGTGCTCACTTGGGTCTTATCAGTCATCCAAGAAAGAGTTGGCTTCCATCACTTTTGAAATATCATAACCCTTGATATTGCCAAGTTGAGATCTCTCATCTCCCTGCTCTTTTTTACCTCAGATTTTTATGCATTGTGTTAATGTTTCTTTTCTAGATCCCTAGGTTGCTATTACCATCTCAACACTTCTGCTACAGTGTTTTCAGTCTACTTATCTTGCCTGGCTTTACCTTCTGTAGTCTGTCAGCTGCAATGTTTGTGATAAAACTGGGTGAATGTGAACAGCCATCCTACAAAGAGCTGAGCTTTGAGTTACAGGTGGTTCAAGCCCTGGCCATTGGTCACCTGAAGGCTTGATTCAGAAACCTAAATTTAGCCTCCAACCACCATTAAAGGTGGTTTAACTAGGATATAGTTATCATTACAGAGCAATATCATCTCTGTGAGATTTGTAGATTTGTGCTGTTCTCCTGTCTGGCAAATGTCTTTTTATATGGGTTCACTACCTTTCTAAACTTTGATGGGAAGTAATGAAAAGCTCTCTCACTTGGCTACTCTGAAAGTGTTCTTGCCCCAATCTGTTTGAAAGCAGCAAATTCTACTCTTTGTTCACCAAGGAAGTCCTTTGGTACAAGACATTTTAGGTTGAGGAATACCTAAGCTGCAGATTCAGATATCCTGTGATGGTTTTGGCTGGGGCAGAGTTAATTTTCTTGCTAGTATGGGGCCGTGTTTTGGATTTGTGCTAAACAGAGTGATGATAATAAAGAGATGTTTTTGGTATTGCTGAGCAGTGCTTACACAGAACCTTTTCTGCTTAGAGTCCTTACACAGGCTTTTCATAGTGTCCTACTGACGAGGAATTTGGGGTTATATGAGAGACTGGGAGGAGATACAGTCAGGGCAGCTGACCCCAACTGACCAAAGGGACATTCCATACTATATGACATCATGCTCAGCATATGAAGTGGGGGAAAGCAGGAGGAAGAGGGGGACATTTGGAGTAAAGATGTATGTTTTCCCATGTAACCTTTCATGCGTGATGGGGCCCTGCTTTCCTGGAGATGGCTGAACCTGCCTGCCCATGGGAAGCAGTAAATTTCTTTGTTTGTTTGCTTGTGTGCATGGCTTTTGTTTTCCCTATTACACTCTTTTCATCTCAACTCACGAGTTTTCTAGCTTTTACCCTTCCAATTCCAACTGTCTCTCTGATCCTGCTGGTGGAGGGGTGAGAAAACTGCTGCATGGTACTTGCTTATTCACTGGGGTTAAACCATAACATATCCTCAGGTGTGCTGTAACACAAAGGAGTCATACATCCACATCCTTCCTTAATTGCCAAACTCTGTTTGTATTACCATCTGTCAAACAGAAAGCATTTCTTTTTTGTAGGGAAGATGACCATAATCAGTCCTTATGCTTCTTGACAAGGAAATCAAGTAAATGGAGATTTTTAACAGATCAAATTTGAACTCAGATGTCCTGAGTTGTCCTAGTTAGGACAGCTGAGACCAGTTCATCATGGTATGGGTGTAACCCAAAACTGTGTATTCTATAGCCTTCCATGCCATTTCCCAGAAATTGTTAGCAGTAGAGGCCTGTAGATACTCCTGTCCTCATACCCTTTTATGGAATTCCCCTCTCTGAGGGAAGGACTGAGCATCCTCATACCCTTTTATGGAATTCCTTGCTCTGAGGGAAGGACTGAGCATCCTCATACCCTTTCATGGAATTCCCCACTCTGAGGGAAGGACTGAGCATTCCTGCCTGAACTGGAGAATATATAAACTTGGAGTTTTGGAACCTTTTTACCACTCGTAGGATCCAGAGGAAGACTGCAGCTCACCACCCTCAACTGGACTGCAATCACCACTTTTGACCAGACTGCAACAGCTCTCCCACCAGCAGGTTTTTTTCCCCTCTCCCTTTACTTTGGACTCAGGGAGGGGAGCCCAAGAAACACCACTTTGTTCATGCCCCAGGGTGCTGGGTTATACATTTGGGTTTTGTGGGTTAAAACCAAATTGCTTGTCTGTATAATTGTACTTATTTTATTATTTTATTAAATTGTTATTCTGACTTATAATCTCTCTTTTGAGTTGAGTTCATTTTCCCTGCTGGTTAACTTTTAAACCAGCACATGAGTTCACAGACATTATGTGAGACACCACCCGGAGTACTGTGCCCAGGGAGGGAGTCCTCAGCATAAGACATGAACCTGTCAGAGTGGCTCCAGAGGAAGGCCAAGAAAATTGTATTGGGTCTGGAGCACCTCCCCTACAAAGACAGTCTGAGACAGCTGGGATTGTTCAGTCTGGAGAAGAGAAGGCTCTAGGGAGACTTTATTGCAGCCTTCCAGTACTCAGAGAGGGCTTAAAAAAAGAGAGTGAATGACTTGTTACATAGACAGACAGTGACAGAACAAAGGGGTATGGTTTTAGATTGAAAGAGTAGAGATTTAGATTAGATGTTAGGAAGAAATTCTTTACTCAGGGGGAACTGAGGTAATAGAACAATTTGCTGAGAGTTGGGGATGCCCCATTCCTGGAAGTGTTCAAGGGCAAATTGGATGGGGCCCTGAGCAATCTGGTCTAGCGAAAGGGGTCCCTGCCTGTGGTAGGGGGTGGGGAGGGTTAGAATAGATGATCATTAAGGTCCCTTCTTACCCAAACTGTTCTGTAATTCTATGATTATGCAGCTTCTTGATTAAGCAAGTCAAGGACAGTCTTTTTTCTATTACTGAGTGTGGAACTACATTTATTGAAGAAGTATCTTTTCATATTCACTATAAATTAACTTATACCAATTGCATTACATATCATGTTGCATGCCTACATTTTATTAATAGGAAAAGTTTTCCTTTTTAAAGTTAATTTATTTCTTAGACTAGTAAAAATTTTAAATCGCAACATTTTGTTTCCATAGGGATTAATTACAAAAACAACCACACTGGCAGTCCTGTGCCTTCTGCAATGCAATCACTCTCCAAGACATTTGGTACTTAATGTAGAAATGAGTAGGCTGAATCATGTTTAAACTATTTGGGTGCTCTGAGGTGGACATAACAGGATCAATTGAGTTATGATCCTTGTGCTTCTCTAGAATAACAAATAGAATTTTTCTGGTGAAGAGATTAAGTATTTTCCCAAATAAGGAAATTGTAACTGAGCTGCTCTGGTGTGTGGGATTCATAGGTACGAAAGTGCACGGAATTCCACCCTGAAAGGAATCATCTTCAAGTGTCACATAATTTTGCCCTTGAGCAAAGTATGAAGTCTCCTGATAACTGACTTACTCATCAGTCACTTAGGTGGCTTGTCCAGCCTCCATAATGAATGTAAGCAGCATCGTAGCATTGTCAGTATCTTAATCAGGTTGTTATAATTTTCTACACATGTTACAAAACAGCCTATTGTCTTAGTAATTATGGGGCTTATCAGCAAAATCATTATTGGCAGGCAATTTTAGTAAGATCTGTGGCAGGTTTTGTCTAACATCCGAGGAGAATTTATCTCCTGTTGGTTTTGCATTCTAAAATATAACTAAGAGAACAGAATTATAGAGATACCACGAGGTGAACAGGCCCAGAGGAAACACACAGCTGCAGAGAGCTATAAACTGCAGAGATATACCGAAAATATTTATAAAATTATTGTGAAAATGAAAGAAAGAAATACTTGGT